GGCCTCATCTTTCTCTTTTTTTTAACTGGGTCTCACTCTGTTGCCCAGGTTGGAATGCAGTGGCACAATCATGGCTCACTGCAGCCTCAACCTCTTAGGCTAAGAGATCCTCCTGCCTCAGCTTCCTGAGTAGCTTTGACTATAGGTACATGCCACCACACCCGGCTAATTTTTTTCTAAACCTTTAGTAGTGACAAAGTCCTCTTATGTTGCCCAGGCTGGTTCGGAACTCCTGAACTCAACTGATCAAGCCCTGGCCTCCTGAAATGCTGGGATTACTAAGGCACCATGCCTGGCCAATAAATAGTTCTTTTTTTTTTGGTGGGGGGAGATGGAGCTTCACTTTTGTTGCCCAGGGTAGAGTGCAATGGCGCCATCTAGGCTAACTGCAACTTCCGCCTCCCAGGTTCAATCAGTTCTCCTGCCTTAGCCCCGAGTAGCTAGAATTACAGGAGCCCAACACCACACTCAACTAAGCTTTTTTTTTTTTTTTCCTCTTTGAGATGGAGTCTCACTCTGTCACCAGGCTGGAGTGCAGTGGTGAGATCTCGGCTCGCTGAAACTTCCAACTCCCTGGTTCAAGTGATTCTCTTGCCTCAGCCTCCAGAGTAGCTGGGATTACAGGCACGAGTCACCATGCCCAGCTAATTTTTGTATTTTTAGTATAGACGACGTTTCACCATGTTGGCCAGGATGGTCTCAATCTCCTGACCTCGTGATTCGCCCCCGCCTTGGCCTCCCAAAGTGCTGGGATTATAGGCGTCAGCCACTGTACCCAGCCCTAAGTTTATACATATATGTGTGTGTATATAGATATAGATATAGATATAGATATTTTGAGACGGAGTCTTGCTCTGTCACCAGGCTGGAGTGCAGTGGCGCAATCTTGGCTCACTGCAACCTCCACCTCCTGGGTTCAAGCGATTCTTCCGCCTCAGCCTCCCAAGTAGCTGCGACCACAGGTGAATGCCACCATGCCTGGCTAATTTTTTTTTTTTTTTTAAGTAGAGACGCGGTTTCACCATGTTGGCCAAGATGGTCTTGATCTCCTGACCTCAGCCCGCCTCGGCCTCCCAAAGTGCTGGGATTACAGGCGTGAGCCACCATGCCTGGCCAATATCTCTTGTATGAACAGAATGTATGTACATACTTAATGTGGAGAATTTAAAAGTGTTTGATTTTTAAAATTAATATAATAATTTATTAATGATAATATAAACTTCATTTTAGGCCATTTTACTATCAGACCTTTAAGAGTCTGGAAATGAGCAAGTTTTCAAATGTCCATTTCCCCCTAAGGTTAAGGTATGTTTCTAAAACAACCTTTTTTGAAATTTATATGAAATTTATATAAAACGTGACTCATGGCTAGGTGCAGTAGCTCATGCCTGTAATCCCAGCACTTTGGGAGGCCAAGGCGGATGGACCATGAGGTCAGGAGATCGAGACCATCCTGGCTAACAAGATGAAACCCTGTCTCTATTAAAAATGCAAAAAATTATCCGGGTGTGGTAGCATGTGCCTCTACTCCTAGCTACTCAGGAGGCTGAGGCAGGAAAATTGCTTGAACCCGGGAGGCGAAGGTTGCAATGAACCAAGATTGCACCACTGCACTCCAACCTGGGTGACAGAGAAAGACTCCGCATCAAAAAAACAAAACAAAACAAAAAAAACCATGACTTGTAAATTTCATTAAAATAAAACTTACACTACAGGTTGAGTCTCTTATCAAAAATGCTTGGGACTAGAAGTGTGTCAGACTTCAGTTTTTTTTAAATCTTGGAATATTTGCATTATCTATTTACCAGTAGAGCATCCCTAATCCAAATATCCAAAATTTGATATGCTCCAGTGAGCTTGTCCTTTGAGCTCAAAAAGTTTCAGATTCTGGAGAGTTTTAGATTTCAGATTTTTAGAGTAAGGCTCAACCTATAAATTAATTTTACAGTATATGGGATGTACAGTTAGGGTCTCAAACTTCTGACCTCGTGATCCACCCACCTTGGACTCCCAAAGTACTCAGATTACAGGCATGAGCCACCATGTCAGGCCATTATCGAAGTTTAAAAAAAAATTTACATGCAGGTAAATGACAAGTGTTTCAAATTAGAATAGTGAACAGCAGTAGAAACAGATATTGAGTGACAACTCATTAAGTCTCTTACCTCTAACTGTAAGGCATCTATTTTCTCTTCCTGGCAAGTATCCCCCTCACATTCATATTGTACTATTTTCCCATCTGTTTTACTTGCAACCAGTCGATGAACATAGTTATCTAAAGAAAGAGTCAATGAAAGCGTGTTTCTTTAGGATGAAAAAGGTCTCTCCCTGAACACTTTTAACTCTGACAAAATTTTTGTTTTTTCAGATCTAAATTAAATGCCTTACAACATTTCTTTGAAACTGTCAAATCATTGAATTTTAGAGTGGAGGGAGACAGCAAGAGTGGAAGTATTAACTCCCTTCATAATGTGTGATTCAAGCCATTTCTAGGAAAACAGTACCCTCAGGGAAACTGAGAATTTGGGTTTGCAACAGCTGTCAGCAAGATGACATTTCAAGCTAGGAGGGAAAGTGAAGAGATTTCGAAGGCAAAGTTTCCATGCAGAATGAGTCCAAATTAGAAAATGAGAGTGGTGTTCACCTCCAGCATAGTCCCAGACTCGATGGTTGGTAAGCTGCATGGCATACGTGTGCTGCGTTTCCTCAAAGTGCTTATAAGCATGTCGACTTACATATCGTCCACATCCTATGTGGCCACATATTAAACAAATCCAAAGGTTCTGCCGGAAGAGGTTAAGATCTTAATTAGTTAAATAAAAATAAATGATCCAGGCCGGGCACGGTGGCTCATGCCTGTAATCCCAGCACTTTGGGAGGCCGAGGTGGGTGGATCACGAGGTCAAGAGATTGAGACCATCCTGGTCAACATGGTGAAACCCCGTCTTTACTAAAAATACAAAAAATTAGCTGGGCGTGGTGGCGTACGCCTGTAATCCCAGCTACTCGGGAGGC